TTGCAGAATTCAATATTAGGTTTACTATTTTTTTCTAATATTTTGTCTGGCCCATGTGTTTATTTTGGAATTCTAAGTAGAATTACAGGGTATAGGATTGATTTGCCCTTTTCTCATTTTGTCTACAGAAATGTTATTTTATATGCTGCTTGCTTCAAATTTTCAGATGTTCTGGAAAATTCAGGCTGTTTATACCAACAAATGTAGGATTTGTTAAAGCACTATAAAATGTATATAACTTTCTACACATGTTTGTGTGTTGCCTTAGTGGAAATGTAGATTATTTTTATTGTTCTTGTACATGGATTATGAGCGTGAACAAAAAGGGAATTTACATACGATTGTGTATCTGAAGAAAAAGAATCTCTGACTTTAAAAAAAAAATCTTTTAAGGAATATTTGCTCTGAGATTGTCAGGTAAAAAGTTAGGATGAGGCAAAAATGCTAATAATTTACCTTATACTTTAAAACAAATCTTGAATTTACCCATTGTATTTTATTTAATTTTTTTAAAAAATACTTTTTTAAAAAAATTTTACTTTTGAATATAAATAGTTCTCACTTCAACCAAAACAAGATATTTATGTCAATTTTGTCATAGTCACAAAAGAGCAAGCCAACATCATTTTAAATTTCATTTTACTACAATTTTTTTAAGTATTTAATAACTGGTTTCAAAATTATATTCTCTCATGGTTGTTTGTAGCAAAGGATTATATTGTTTTAATTTGAATATTTATTATATATCTACTATTAAGTAAGCATTTGGGTCTTCATCTCGATTAATATCATTTATTTAACAGAGCAAAATAATTAAAAAGAAAGACAATCTTTATCTGACATTCACCTTTTGAAAGAAAAAAAAAATCAAGCTAATTTTCTTTGAAAAAAACATGAATTCTATTACTGGAAGGGCCAGAACTGAACATAAGCATGGAGGACATGAAGTATACACTTTGCCAAAGAGTGTTTTCCCACAATGGCACCTTTAAAGTTTAACTAAGAAATGAATAAACAGAAGTTCAGGAAGCTCCGGTAGTGTTCATGGGGAGAACTTGATTGTTTAAAGGCTAATTCAGGGTTGGCCCGGTGGCACACTGGAGAGTGCGCCGCTTGGGAGCGTGGCGG